CTTTGATCTTATGACCCTGAGATCATGACCTGAGCCAAAGGCAGACGCTTAACGACTGAGCCACCCAGGCGCCCCAAGTTTCCATATTCTTACTGATATTTATTAATAAAAAAAAAAATTGAAGAGTGAAGTTTTATAACAATGCATTCAAAAAATTCACCTAAGACATACTTTAATATGCAAATGTGCTCAGCTGCCTGATTTAACATTCTATATAAAATGGTTCTATTATTTACTTGCTAAGAAACCTACAAATCATGGACATGTAAAAGTTGAAAGCAATTCTAATGACATTGAGTAATTCCAAGGGAACTGTGGCACTGAACACAGCATTGATATTACAGAATTTTACAGCTAGAAGAGACTTAAAATATCCAGACCAATTGTATTTTAGATAGATACAGACACCCAGAACAGGTAACTTTACACAGTGAATTAGTAAAATGTTCACTTACTCAAAACAATCATTGTTCTAAGCCTTTTACATTTTCTTTAACAAGAAAAGCGTGCTAATTTTTAAACATGATGAAATTTAACATCAAGTTCTACATATAAATAAATGTCAGGAAGAAGTTTTATTAAAAGACGAGAATTATACCAAATGTCAATAGTATTTCTAGATAGTCAAAATTACAGATGACTTCAGTTTTTTGTATTTTTTTTCTGTTAGAAACCATACAGTGAGCATAAATTTTATCATTACAAAAAAATAAAATTTGATGTCTTACTACATAATCACTCTACTGACACGTTTAATACACCTAAAATATACACACTGTTAAGAAATGCTAGTTAATGTAGTTAAGCAATTCACTAGACTTTATATAAAAAATGTTCTGTTTCAGTGTAAAGAAATAGCTGTTAAAAGAACTCAAGTAAAACAGTTATTCTACAGTACTATCCCAAATAAATGATTTTCATAATAACTTTTTCAATTTTTTGCTTCCTCTGTGAGTTAAGATTCTAGTGGACTCATGCTTTAATGTGCAATACAGTTATAAATACACATTTAAATTTCATACTATTTGGGTAGGCATTTAGCACAAAATTCACACAGGCCTTTAGGAACATCCAAATTTTTTAATATGTTAGGTCAGGATAATTTCCATCAACAAATATTTTTGTAAAATAGACTAACTTTAGAGTATTATCCTTGGTCCATTTAACTGTTTACAGATAACTACAATCAGACAGGGAAAGAGGTTTCCGACATCATGAATAAAGAGCAGAACTCCATGGGTAAGAGCAGAGACTAACACCAGACTGTATGGTTCCAATCCACGTTCTGCCCACTGTCACCTTACACAAATTATCTAACTTCATCTGCAAAATGAGGACGATTAAGAATATCTACTCTTAGGTCAGTAAAAAGATTGAAATAGTACCTACAAGTGAAAAGTTTGGATCAGAGCCTCACATATAAATGCTCACTGGGAATTAACTATAATAACATGATCTCAATTTCAGGAAACTTCGAAGTACATATAATTTTTAACTTATTAGTATGTACATACCAGTAGTAGATTTAAAATTATAAACATGCTTACCTATAGTAAGAATAACAAAGACTAAAAGAATAAGAAGAAGCCTCATAAGGGAACAGAAAATACATACTATCATTTATGTGATCTTCTTAATAAAAGTACCTTATTTGCTCCAAACTGCACTCTGGCTTTGCCTTTGACTAACGTGGCATTGATTTGCATGATAACTGACTCTATTGAGTAGGCACTGCTCCAGCCCTACAGGAAGAAAACACTTCTGTAAAATACAATGGTACTCTTGATTTCCACTTTGGAAAACTTAATAAAATAGCACATAACAACTTGACAACAGCAAGACAATGTTAAGAAGTCTGTATACAAGAGAAAAAAGTAAAGTTGGACTGTTTCTAAAATCTCGTAAAACAAAAAACAAAAAAACCCCTATGTTCTAAGTATCAAACATAAGCAAATTATAACCTTATAGAAACATCGCTCTTAGAACACCTCTCCTTGCATAGATTAAGCACCAAGTACAATGTCATTTTATTGGTTTGCCCTAAGTAGACTTTCATTATAAAAAGCAGGTGTTCAAAACAATTTTTTTAAGTAGGTGGTATTACATCAGAGTTTTTCCACTCAGAATCTAATTTACATCATCAAAACACTCCACTGAGATTGAAAAATGAGTACTATAAGAAAATAGTCACCTGTTTTGTGAGAAGTTCCATACATAGTGCTCCACCGCCCAACACATACCTTAAAAAGAGAAAAGGAATCCTATTTAATTCTCTACATCTCAATGTTCCTTCTTAAATTTTAAAGGACCACCACTAAGAAGTATGCATACAAGTAAAGGTTAGACGATAACATGCAAAAATGAGAACAGTGGTTAGGGTTCTAGGACTAAAAGGGTAGTTAAAAAATTCTAATGTCATCACTTTATTATAGTCTTAATTTTTTTTTAAATAATGGTTCTTAGAAACAGAATACTTGAACACTCTAGAAACTAGGACCTTAGCCCTAAATATTCCACAGAATGGGAGTGTTATATTCATCTGAAAATTTCTCTGCCATCATGTTAGCCAATGGCACCAACTTTACCCTATTTATAATAATGAACAGGACATGGTATTTTATGGTTAAATTGCTTTTATCCACACTTTCGTGAGGATCAAATGGTTATGACCATAGAGCGTCTCTCCGGGACTCCTCAATTTCTCTTTCTAATCCTGAGAACTGTTCTCTGAACCAGACTTTTGGGAATTTTCCAGATCTCTCTTAGGAAACCCTTATTTAGATCAAGATTATTCAACCTTTTAACCCTTTCTCAAACAAAATAATTTCATTTCTCCTTTAATGTTAAACTTCAAAATATATGACGGGCTCCCTGCTCGGCAGGGAGTCTGCTTCTCCCTCTGACCCTCCCCCCTCTCATGTGCTCTCTCTCTCTCTCATTCTGTCTCAAATAAATAAA